TGCAAAAAAACTGATTTGAAACTTGTGATCTACGTACCCCATTTACCCAAAAAGCATACTCTGGCCAAGATTTCAAATACACATAAGCAGTTTTGAAATCTATCCTATACTGGGTAAACTACAGCGGTCAATAACTAAAAAAGTTGCAGTAAATGTTATTAAAAAAATGTTGTTATGATGGATTGTGTTCAGCTCAACACCCTCTGAGAAAAAAGTTAAGTAGTTACGAACATGTATATCAGAGAAATTAGATGGATCAAGCCAGTCAAACAGACCCATACAATTAGTCAATTGACACGCTTTTTATATCCTTACCGAGGTAGGGTTGGGATCGTATAAATACACTAACAATAAAAAATTGACATATACCTTCTCCAGCCCCCTTACAAGTCCCAGCCCCCAATTTTTGACCTCTACAAAAACGAGAAATGGAGTTTGTGCAATTTCCATTTTTTTCGTTTTTTGATCCGAACTCCACTGGACAGATTATTTATCAAAGATTTTTTGTTCTTGCCATAGTACAAACCTTTCGAGTTATAGATCGGCCAATGATTAGCGGACAGTCAGACAGACTGACGACAATTAGTGACATAGTTTTCCGTGACGTCCAAAAAACATATCTCATTTTATATTTTTTTCGCAATTACAATACCCAAGTAAAAGACAAATGCAGACCAATGATTTTTATCGTATTTATACCTGTGCCATATGATTTGTAAGGGGTTTCTTATACTCGTAGTAACAAATTGTAAAGAGTAATTACAAAAAGAGAGTGAAAAGTATGTTTCTGAAAAACCAAGATTTCAATCTTTCCAAAGAGAAATCACCTTTTCTTATAATTTCATTTAAAACAGCATAATATGAGGGTCTTGGAGGTAGGGAACAAACCTTACTATACCCCTTTTTTTCATTGTCAGTGCATGGTAATTCCGCCTTTGCAAGCAATCTTTATTCTTTTTTGGAATCAAATATCGGATTACATCTCAAGTTTGATATACAGACACGAATCTGGTCAAATCTCTGTAGCAAAAAAAGTCGACGTCAATTAAAATTTCAAGCTGATGCGCTGAAGGATTGAGTTTTATTATCGTTCTATTAGTAATATCGTCGGACTTACAAAACTAATTGAAATTATTCATCATAAACCCTACCGCTCTGTGTATCAGTGGTAAAACTCAGTTGATTGGAAGTTGGAAACGAGAACCAAAGAAAAAATGCAGACATATTTGTAAGCTCGTTTAACGATAGTATGTACGCGTATCAATTTTATGGTGTAAGATGGATGCAAATTTCCAAGCATGTAATCGCTGGTAATCGTTACAAATTGAAGCGGTCTGGTTTTACGATCCGGGCAAATTGTCAGAAAAACAAGTAGGAGTATAGGCACCAGTTTTGAGTCATATTGGATTCAGCATATCGATTTGTGGTCTCATTTTTTTTCTCAAATCCGCCTTAATGAGGCCGAAAGTTTCGCATGATCTCATTTTCTTCAGACGAGTTGAAAATCTCAGATTCGTGTGGAAGAACTTCTCCAAATCAATTTTTTCTGTATGTTGCTTTTTATATACCGAAGCAGCCGCGTGGAGAGAGACGAGACATAGCCTAGACTATGCTGATGAGTAGCCAACAAGCACGAAACATTTGTATATTTGGTCGGAGGGACGAAACCGTCATGTTCAGCTAAAGACACTTTATTGTATTAATTCGATGTTTGAACTGTCTAAAGTTAGTAGAACTTGGTAATGACACCACATCCAGATTGATTCACAATCTCGACACCCTAGGGATGAAGGAGAGGTCGTACCAGCCAGTTCTGAAGGTACGGAATTCGACACCGTTAGAGAGGTTATAAATTTCGAAAAACTGAGGAGAATTACGGGAAATCATCACCGCGCCCACGTTGTGTGTAATTACTATTAGCATGTATATGGCTTGTAATTCGACAGTGTACACAGTGATTATAATAATTTCTTATCTCTCTCATTTTTGAAATTCAGCAAATTTGTATATGTAATTTCCAGAATGGATAAGAAATAGTGGATGCGCAACTAATTTCTAGCTTTGAATCTCAATTAAGTGTATTTGAGACAAGAACCCAATGTAATTATCATTAACACATGCAACTTACAGCTTAGACCTTCAGTAATGCCATCTCAGAAGGAGATTTTACATCACATCAGAGCCAAAGGTTCATAACAAGCCTCATGACGTTTAAGCAACCCGTACAACTAAGTGCTAAGTTGATATCTTGTAGAATAACCTACATAATGTCAAAAAAAAAACAGCATAATGTCAAAAAAATCGGCATAATGTCACTTTTCAAGTTACGTGATGCCCCTGCCGATCTTCTTTTTTAATTTCCCCCGATAATATCTCCAACATGCATCGGTGTTTCGTCTCGCGTTAATTGTTTCTGTTTAGCATGGCCAACTCAGATCAGACCTGTTCTTTAATCAGGCAGGTACAGTTTGTAACCGAATGTAAATTTTCGAGGACTGCCAGGAAACATGATAAAGTATTGTCAAAATTTGAAGATCACATGAACTGATTTCACAGATCTTTTCGTAAGATGCATTAGAAGAAGCTATCATTTCAAAGATTCCGTACTCTTATAGTTTTGCTGTTATACAACAGATGGCAACGCAACGTCAGGACCAATGAGCTAGCAAAGAAAAGGGATCATTCACTCTTATACAGGGTGCTTCAAATTTGATCCTTCCCATTGGGATCTTCGAATCGATAAGAGATACGAAATAGTTTAAATAAGAACAACGTGACGCATTTAGATAGAACTCAAAAATAACTTAGAATTTTTTGCATTTTAAAGGAGAAACGGAAAAAGACAAAATTGGATTTTCCATTTTACCGACGTTATTTGATGACCCTTAAATAAAGAAAAAAAAGAATATTATGTTGATTTCAGACCAACTATAGGCAAATAAAACTAGAATCAAGAAAGCATCGACAGGGAGACTGTACAGATTGGTACAGGACTCAGGACTGTTAAATTTGGTATTGTGCTATTTTCTTTGCAGGCATATCCTTTTAATTGTTGCTTTTTTAAAGTTGTTAATAAGAAGATTTCAAATCATGAAAAAATAATATATGTACCTTGAAATGTTGGTGACTCGGAATTTACGTGGAAATCTGGAACGCAATCGGTGCATCTGTATTCAAGTATTTTGTGGAGTGTGCAGTTCCAGGAAAGTAATCAATCTTTCATACAATACAACAAAGACTTCGTCGGCATGGGAACCAAAGAATGGCTAATTATATTTTTTGATATCGTACGCCTGGAATTGATGAGCGTTTCTGATTGGTCGACCAACCGACCAGCTTTTGTTTTACAAAAAAGGCATTCTTGTTGTTTAAGCAACCATGGAAGGTAATGCTTCTGTGCACTGAGTTGTTCTTGTGAAACCGCTACTGATAAGGTTATCATTACCATATGTATTCTGTATAATTTGGTACGATTGAAATTGGCACATGCACTGAATTGGCAGCTTAGCTTAGCTTAAAACTTGGGTTACGAATATTTCGTTCTGCTTTAAATACAAAATTAAGGAAGGGGAAATGCCTAGTCAAGGAACATGGTGTATGGCTTGACACAAGTCTCGGCTGAGGAGCTTATACAACAAAAAGTGAATGGAACTGTAAGAATGTTCTGAGATTCATTAAAAGAATTTGAAAAACTTTCCAGTGTCCAACAGTGCTGCGGCTTTGAAAGCACTATATTTTGCGTTCGTTAAGTCGAGGTTAGAAAATTGTTGTTTGGAAGCCTTATTACGTATAACAAATGCAGGTTAACATAGATTGCTTGGATTTGAGGAGAATCAAGAATTCGGTTTCAACTCTCTACAACCTGAATTCATAAATTGCCCAGATCTACCATTACAAATTGATTTTCATGTGATAAAGAAATATCATTTTTTTAAAAAACACACAATAGGTTTTAGAGTATAGTTCAACACTACCTATACAAACAAAAAATGTTAGGACCCCAACTGCTCTAGTATTGCATTTAAAACAAAACAAGCGTACTACAAGTTTGATGCATAATATACTTCAATAACGTCGACTTACGGGTGCATAACACACCCTGGAGACCTCTTCAAGACAGCGGGGTTTGAGGCATGTGAAAAAAAAATATATATATATATATATAAGCTTGGTGATTACAAGAATGTTGGATAAACTATATGGAATAATATAATATTCGTCATTACTTATGACCTCTTGCTAAGGTATCGGTAATCTATTCATTTTTATAAGGTGTTTCGTCTCTAGATGCGAAAAACGCCCTTGACGGATATCGTTTTTGAATTGTTTATCCAATGAAAAATCTTCTAAAAAATAGGTGATAAGAGCATAAGAGATCTAGAGAAAATGTGGTAAATGATCTGGCATTATCAGGAATATTGTTGTTGCTACAAAGCATCATCTCGCTTTTTCTGATAACTTAAACTCATCTAATCCCTTTCAATGCCTCACCGTATTTACCCTTTCATTCAGTTTCAACAGCTCTATGTATTGGTCCTCAACTGCTCCAATATATACCTACTCATTTGCTGAGGCTGAAACTAGATTTAATGTGGAGGAAGCAGGTTCTCCCGGATTTCAGTACACCTAACAACCAACCACAAGCCCACAAAACAAAAAAGTGGGGTACTTTTTCACGCTGAATACGAATCTGAAGTCAAAACTGAGGGTCGGTGGATTAATAAGAAAGTAGTTCAGGCAAGATAACTTATTTTTGCATTTATGGTGGATGTGTATATCTTCAGAGGTCTCCGAAATGAGCACATCAAATACAAAGATTATTAATTCTAAATTACGTCATAATTGTCCACCTTCCCCCAATTTTGACTTCTGATTCGTGTTCAGAAGGAACAAGTATAGTGAGGCAGCTCATACCACTTTTCGTGTACGTGTCGATCGTTTTTATACGTCCTCTCTAAAATTTGTCCAAATTTTGACTTGAGATTCGTGTTCAGCTACATGGGGAAAATAGTCCGACCTCATCACTTTTTTGTCATGTGGGTCTGTAATTAATGAAAAGCTTGATTTTACTGTTTCTAAACATTTGAAAATAAAACTGTCTGAGGCCCTCAAGCTGGTAAGGATATTCCTGTTCCTGCTTCTAAAACCATGTGAAACTCACCATAAAAGCTCTCTTACTCGCCACCTCTACCAAAAACACACTCAAGTCTCTTTGGCGCGACAGTCAGCAGCACGCCCGTCATCTAGCGTCACACCTCACTGTCCGATGACGTCATAGTCGCTTATGCACACGCACTGTCTAACTACAAAGCGACCGCCGCATGTCTCGCACACATCGTTGACCAATAGGCGACTGAGGCACTGACAGCGCGCGCTGAACCACAGAACACTGAACTGCCGGAGAACGGAGCAGGCTGTGGAAATGGGATGACAATGCGCGTGCGCAGGTCGAAGCAGGGATCCAAGGCGGCGACGGATGCGATGGTGGGGGAAGAAGTGGCGCGCGACTGCAGGGAGGCTGACGGGGGGCCCCTCTCCGTCGTTGAAGGGGATCCTGCTAAGGGATCCTGCTGGAACAAAGAAGGAAAGAGTTAGTGAGATATTGAGGGCGGTACAAAGAGCGGATTTTTGGAGAATTCGTTAACTTATAACCTGTAAGCATGTAATAATGAAAACAAGATCGTAAAATGATAAAACCAAGGTATGTTGTATTGGTTCTAGACTAGCGATTCCGAAGTGCAAAGAAGTAATAAATACGAACATATTTTTAGGAGGTATCAGCATTGAATTTGTTGAAGAAGGCAAAAGGTAGTACTAGATAAGAATTTAAGTTTCGAAAGTCATATTATGAATAAGCTCAAAGTATGTTATTATAAATACAAATCGCTATGCAAATATAAATATATATAAACAAGTGATATCAAACTAAAACTTGTTAATACGTCAATCCTCATACAATTACATTATTGTAGTCTGTATATTACCCTTTTCCAACCGAGGAAATGAAAAGAAAAATTCAAGTTTTACAATGAGATAAATAGACGCGAACACATTACTGGGTATTATCTAAGGGAAAATGTTTTAAAGTTCAAACCTCGCTCATTGTTTCTCTAAGCTGCTCTATTATTTAGGATTGTAAAGTATAAATCTCCGAGATACCTTTTCCACGAAAAGATCTCTTCATCAACTGTTAGTCCGCAGTGAATATTGTTATACCATCCCAACCCATCATATTTTGAAAAATGTTTCTATTACATAGCGCGCATAATACTAAATGAATACCTAAAATGTTTTGAACTAATGTCAATTCACAGCTTCAAAAGAGAGTTCAAAAAAATGATACTACAGATACAATTTACTGAATCATCAAGTGGTTGAATAGATCATTATTGATATTTTTATGTTCTAAAATTTTGTTAACTTTATAATTATCAGCTACATGTTAGTACACACTACGGTATTTGAGAGGTGATTCCATAGAAGGAATTATATGTAATCATATACCAACGTACAAAATGCTACAATTAGAATTTTTCTAAATAGTCCTAAATTCATAAGAATCAACAGTTTAAAGAAGTTTGTTCAAGTTTATTGAAGTTGATGGCCATGAGAGTGTATCGCTTTATTAAAATGTTTTTCTTTGATTCTTTTGGTTAACCTTTTAGCCATACACTTCCACATACTATATTTCATCTTTCCACAAAAATGGACGACAGATGACCACTTTTTCGTGAAGTCGAGTTTTCATAGAGAGCTTGACACCTTAACAGGAAGCATATTGGGGCGCGCATTTATATGAACTTTTTCCTGTAATTATACGAGTAACATCAAGTTTGATCAAATATTTTATTGACACCATTTGCTCTGCTGAATTTTCTTAGAGCACTACCAGTAATTTTGTGTCATACCTCTTTTTATAAAAATTGAATGATTCAACTGAAGATTACACATTAAACATGGCAGCAATTTTACTAACCCAAATCTCGTAGATCCAGCCAGTTCCATGGGATTATTGTAATCACAAAAAAATCGAAAACTAGGTAATATGTTTTTTATCACAACGGCTTAGGAATATAGACTAATTCTATGGGTCTGATTGGATGACCTGATCCTGTTTTCTTGAGAGGGCTAACTTGTGCTGAACATAATCTTTCATGAAGTGATGATATCTTTGTGATTGAGGTACAGAGTTAAGCTACTTGACGCCATTATTCATGCTGCAAATGGACCACGGTGAGATTGCAAAGGTTACGGGATTCGTAACGTGATAGGTTGCAGGAATTTCATGACGCAAGGAGTGGCTCACTGATATAACTACCCGTATATTTCGCGTATCAGGCACGTACAAACTTCTATGGCTACTACTAAACAGTTATTAGATTATTACGTTATGTTGATGACTTTTTATTATGGTTATCACGTTATCCAATCATAGTTTCAATTTGATATTCACGCTTTAGGATCTATATACTTTTTAGAAACATACCCAAAAACAAGAAAGTACGAGGGTAACTTTTAAGTTTTTTTTTACACCAAAACAGCCGCACAGAGATCAGTCGGACAGCCCTATTCTGCACAGCATCGACCATGGATAATGTAGTAGATGCGGCGCACTCCAAACATGTGAGCAGTACTCTAGGCTAGGTCTTATCTACGCTTTGTATAAGTGAGGAAGTTATCTGGAGAAAGGTGCCTCTTGAGCCTAAATAAATAGCCTAGCTTTTTACCAGCTGATTTCGGAATACCCGGAAAAAACTTCCGTTCAAAAGTTAGATACATATGATTATGAAAAGTTGAGTAATTTCGTTCTGTTTTTTCCTTTAATGACCATATACTATTTGTAAAGCAACTAAATTCCGATACCACCATTGTATAATCGTATTGAGAATAAATGTATCTATCTAATTATTGTTTTTGTAAAGAAATTTTCGCTTATGGTCGCTTAGCTAGAATCTCATCCGTCAGATGGGGCTTCACAGACGGTTGTGGAAAGAATTCAAGAGTATCTGTAGTGCACTAATAATTTGAAAGGTACACTTTTGGGTTACCACACCTGGCTATTGTTTGTATCAATTTTTTGCATCATGCAAACATACCCAAGAACCAACTAAAGACGATTAACATTTAACGATCGGATTACTCATTTGCAGCTTCCTGTACAAAACATGCACTTAACCTTATTGCAAAACATCCCGGTGATCAAAAACAAGCTATCCGCAGTGATCTAAACCACATTTCGTAATGAGTTTTCAATGTTTAATTCAAATACTACACACAAGAACCGCTTCGACGTTGTTTTCCTACGTTACAAGCGAAATGATGGAAGCGACATTTGAGCAAAGCCGGCTAGATGAGGGGAGAAAAATTAGCATGAAGCTTTAAAAAGGGTTACGCGTCGCCTAGTTAGCATAACACGGTACAGCTTTTAGTTGTTCGGCGAAATTCGGTTTCAGCCCTAATGGAAGCGCAGTCTAAGTGTATTTTTCGATTAGCTGTTAGACTTTCCCGACTAATTGTGTTAATCAATTCGAGTGGGAATTCCACTTTTGCATAAAACATGGCCGTCATCTTTTTCCACTGCACTGATGCGGTGATAAGAGGTGGGTAGGTAGGTGTAGCGATGTGAGACGCGGTCTACGTTTATTTTATGCAGATCTTAAATACTGCGCTGCGCAAAAAGTGTGGGAAATGCGAGGATCTATTCCGGGTGTGTTAAATTCGATTCCCATCATTTTTTCCAAACTTTAATTGAGACGTGATTTCAAAATAAAAACTACATTAACATTGTCGCTTTTTCTCCTCTACAAGTTGGCGCAATTAGAATTTCAATGAGACGTTTCGGCTTTTGTCTTCAATCTTGTTTTTCCCTATAGACGCCATATTGGATTTTTGCACAGGTAAATTTAGTTAATTCTGATTCAAAAAATGTATAATATGTCATACAATAACATTGCCAAATCTTGGTTATTTAAACAAAAATAAAAGCCCCTAAGTTAAATTATATCAGATAGTCGTTTGTTTTATAATATATATCATCATCCAAGCACTTCTTCAGTTTTTGTAAACTATGCATAGGTGCACAGCCCTATTTCTGATTTTAGTGGTGTGATTTTGTATGTACCTACATTTCATGACATGGATTTGTATTACAACACTTCAAATATCTAAATAAGTAATCTCCCTTTAGTTGGTGTTAAATCATCGATTCAGGTACAATCTAATGCTAAGACTTTTTCATGTTATTTGAGGGTCGTATTGAAAACATTGGGAATAGTATTACTTTATGTAACTGGTAGAAACATTTTGGAGTAAGTAAAGGCGCCGACCATGTTGCTGCTTCCTAAGCTCATCTCATATCCGTCATATCTAAACCGATGCAAATAACTTGCAGTCAAATAACCTACGGCGGAGGTATCTTGTAGAGCATCTGCATCATGCTAAATATATATATATATATATATATATATATATATATCGTATTATCATTCAGACACGCTTCTCAGAAACTATAGCATTGGTACGATGAGGTATAGTCAACGCCAAACAAAGTGGCGTGCACGTCATCACGATAAAAATTCCCCGACCTAATGCCTAGGTTTCTATCACAAACAATTGCTCTATTGCAGTTTCATATTAATGTGATATATAAATTGTAAAATGGTCATTACTCTCTTATTATGGTTAATAGTCATATAAACATTGTTATTAAAATATCACATAAGTTGCTTTCTGATAAATTTAGACGCATTATGCGAAATAAAATGTTTTGCAAACGCTCCAATCACTTATCGACATGTAAACGCACTAAACCGATTTCGCAGCGTTGACACATTGTCACCTTGAAACTTATTTAAACTGGGAACTGACATTTGTATTAATTTTGACACTGAATCAATTTGTGGCATTTCAAATCTTTATAAATCCTTTGGCCCCGCATACTGTAAATCAACAACTGCTTGTTTCAAAACAAAATTATTCATTTTACGAGTAGATAAAGGCAATTTTGGTATATAAAGATGCCCAAACAGTTAAATAGTCGGTGTAAGGAACTCGTGGCCTCGTTAATGCACTACTTTGAGCAAGAAAGGGACAACAACGGGCCTTTGTTGCCTTTAAATGCTGTTCAAGAGGTAGGTTACTAATAATTATATGTAATGTATATTAATAATAGTGAAATTTTATTTCATTTTTTGTAGCGTGTTGCTGCTGCTTTAAAAATTAGTTTAAGGACAGTTAGTCGTATTTCCGAGGGTGTGAAAAGTGATGCAAATTTAGAATCGCCCAAGTAAAAGCAGAGTTATATTAAACGTGTAACCAACACAGCGACATTGGATACAAGTGCCATTCGAGAAGTGATCTATAATATGTATCACAAAAGTAAGATCTTATTATAATAACTTATCAGAAATTTGCATTAATTTATTAACTAAATTATAATGTCATATTACACATGGTTTCAGAAGAACAAGTTACGATACAAACTTTATGGTCTCGATTAAGAGATAGGGCATTATTTGATGGTAGTGCCACGTCTTTAAGGCGGTTGCTTAGAGATCTTGGATTTAAG